TCTTATGAAATCTACGCAGACTTTAATCAATCACTCTTTAAACGAGCTGAAGGAACAGCGACTGTGCGGATAAGCCTCATCCAAGATCAGCGCCTATTCACGTGCTTAGTTGTCCGAGTTGATGAGGTTGTGTTGGCGGTCTGCATTGCAAACCCGCTTCCCCTCCGGCACACCCGGCACCCGTACTCCCTGACACCTTTATAACTAGGGTTACCAGCCACAGACCGACATACTCGTGTGCGAACTCGGTTCCAGTACCGCTGGTACTGTCATGGCACCATCTGTTGCTTCTAGAGATGAGGACTCGAACCCTCAGCGTTTGAATAGCTTGGAGTCGATTAATAATTTTGCCAACTCGGGAATCGCAAAAACGGGAATTGAAACAGTGAAAATAAGGATTAAAAACTTGAAAAATGTACCAAATCCTGAAGGCAAACCATTCACGGTGAGTGAAATGTCTAAAATATTGCTGGGATTGCATGTTCTTCTGAGTCGCCCACCTGTTTACTTCATTGTATTCGCTCGAGATCCTGATATACAGACTCGAATCTACCCAGATGCGTCCGAAGCTCGAATCCGAATTCGAATGAGGATTCACTTACCTGAAGATTCGAATCCAACTGCTAACGTCCTGAGGTCTAGTCGGCGTCTCGCGACCGAAATGCTGAACTTCCTGGCCTTATCGCTGGAGACTGTACCGCGCCACTTCGTCACGACGTCGCCTGACCCGCAGTACATGCAAGCAGTGCGGCACAGCATACCGGGCTCATCCACAATCCGGCACTGGCAGCAACTTGGACCCGTTCGTTTGTGGCTCGGACCCGCTGATATGAGAGGCTGAGGTGGGATGCTGCAGGCTTCTAGACCGGCACGAGCCATATGAGTGATATGGCGTGGACGAAGTTATTCATCTCGTGTCGGGACGTTTTTCACGATGAGCCTGCATCTTTTTCGCTCTGGATCACATATGCGAGCATGCGTTAAGTACACGTTCATTTCCCGTTTGTTTTCATGCGTACGACAACGAAAGCAGTGTAGCGGTACGCAAATCTCTTACGAAGTAGAACAGAGTGTGTGTTTGAATGAGGGATCCGACCCAATTCCAGGTGTGTGGAAAGTTTTTCCCTGTCCGTGCGTTCATGAGTTGTACATACCGCAGCGCATCGAGACAGTTTGTGGCATTTACTCAAATGCGGCTTGATATTAAAAGGAGCTTTCCACCTTTATATGGGATTTGAACTGAAATTGCCATATTAAAGATAATTCGATGCAGTTTGCAACCCTGATCTTCTTAAGTCCTAGTCCCTTCTGCTTTCTGACCTACGTGTCAGAGAAAATGCGCGGACTATTTCGTGCCGATTATTTCAAGGTCAACCCGGCATGCATCACACCATAATAACATCATTCAAATCCTGCCATTCCATTGGCCGTGCGGTGATCAAGAACAGAAACAAGTATAATTATCGAGTTGTCCATGTCTGGCATTGGTGAGCACGATTTCCAGATACGACGGCCGTCGATTGGCTCTCAATCAATGTTGTGCAAGGCACGATGACGCAATGAAACAATGACTTATTAAGGAGTATATTTGCCAGATATAGAAATTATGTTCTTGAGCAGACTTTTCCTCTTAAATGTATACCAGTAGTCATAACTGAGCTTATTTCATTATATCTGGTGCTTGCATTGATATATTCAAGTGTGGAACCATCTCTTTTATATCCCAAACAAACGTGGATTATCCCACGACGCCGATGCATACGTACATAAAAAACATACAGCACGCCCCACAGAGATCTGTTGGAAAAGGTCAGAGATCGGAAGATCGGGATGGAGCGTACAGCCCTTCTCCTTCCATGGCATGTTAAAAGCACGCATCACCACCATTGCTCGCTTTAAAAAGACGCCGGTTCAAACGCCCCGTGAGGAGTTGGTGGCGCGGCCTGGGTGACCTGGCCGTATTCCGACACACACTGCCGGGAGAGGTGTCTCTTACAACGGTGTAACCACGCGGGGGGGGGGGCAAGGGATGTTTTTGCGGAGAACAACACTTTTCCAGTCTTTAGAGTTTTATCTATTTTTCATGGTTCTGGTGTCGTAATAACTGACCGGGACAGAAGTGTTGGAAAGTTCACTGAGAATTGCAAAACTGATCTCATGAATGCGGAAAAAGGTGCGTTATGAATATGTACAAAAGAATCAGATTTGAAAATGTGTGCGGGAACTAATGAAAAACTGGGCACCCTCACCCTTCCGAGCAAACAGGTGCTCTTTCGAAAAACGAGCATCTGCTTGCACGTGGGTCCTGTGCGACAGGTTGGGAAAGCTTGGACATCTTGCCTTCATTGCAATAAACATCGAGATTCTCGTCGTGATTGCCTGTTCAACGTTTCCATGCTATTCGGTACAACTTCATAAGCAATGAATAAAGGTTAGCTTGATATTGCAATAAAATGCATGCTCCTGTCGCTCTCAGAATTCTGGTAGAACTTGATGGCCAACCGCGTTTTTTTGGCATTACAAGGATGCCTGAAGCTACATGTCATAGCACTATTACAAAATTCAAACTAAAGCGGTCAATAGATGTGCATTCCTTGCCTTTCATATTCCGACTGTTTCGACCAAAGTACAAGCATGAGTTCAGTTGATTTGGTTTGAGCAGCACGTGCAAACGAAAAGAACCAAAAATGTTCCTTCACGTTCCCCCTTTTAACTTAATGCCAGCTAGCTGGAGTGTTACAACCACGCACTGTCGCCTCCACCTAGGCACCTCCGTGATCTCCCGCAGACCATGCCACAGAGGCCACACCAGAACACCACCGCCAGCCGGCAGACGTCCTGTCACCCCGGCGCACCAGAGCACCGCCGCCAGCCGGCAGACGTTCTGCCACTCCGGCGCACCAGAGCACCGCCGCCAGCCGACAGACGTCCTGTCACACCGGCGCACCAGAACATCGCCGTCAGCCGGCAGACGTCCTGTCAGCCCGGCGCACCAGAGCACCGCCGCCAGCCGGCAGACGTCCTGTCACCCCCGTGCACCAGAACGCCGCCGCCAGCCGGCAGACGTCCTGTCACCCTGGTGCACCGGAACACCGCCGCCAGCCGGCAGACGTCCTGTCACCCCGGCGCACCAGAACACCGCCGCCAGCCGGCAGACGTCCTGTCACCCCGGCGCACCAGAACACCGCCGCCAGCCGGCAGACGTCCCTTCACCCCGGCGCACCAGAACACCGCCGCCAGCCGGCAGACGTCCTGTCACCCCGGTGCACCAGAACACCGCCGCCAGCCGGCAGACGTCCTGTCACCCCGGTGCATCAGAACACCGCCGCCAGCCGGCAGACGTCTTGTCACTCCGGCGCACCAGAACACCGCCGCCAGCCGGCAGACGTCCCGTCACCCCGGCGCACCAGAGCACCGCCGCCAGCCGGCAGACGTTCCGTCACTCCGGCGCACCAGAGCACCGCCGTCAGTCGGCAGACGTCCTGTCAGCCCGGCGCACCAGAGCACGGCCAGACGTGGGTCCAGGGACGCGCCCGACCGTCCGTGGCCCAGGTCACTGGCGCTGATTCACTTATGTGAGCGTGACACCTGACATACTGGAGCCGGCCGCCGCCGACCCCGGGGAGCGGCCCTGGCTGCCGGCGCCGGCCGCCGGCGCCAGTCACGCCCCACACTCAGCGGAAGGCTGGCCTGTGGCGGACGCGAGCTGCAGTCGTGCGGCCTTGTTCCGGCGATCTCCTGGGACCACAGACAAACCTCGTTGTCATATGGGGGTTTGTCCGCTTCCGCGCTTCACCAATATCGTTAGTCTGACGTGTTTTCTCGGCTCCATATATGCACGCTGCTTCTGGCGCAAAAATATGGCGCTTGAACCTTCGTACCAGCTGACCTTTGATAACGGGTCGGTGTTGCGGGTCGAAATCGCCGCACTGTCTCCAATACGCAGACCGGGGCTGAAATCCTCGCGTGATCCTTGGTTTATGGAGCTTTGTCGTCACTGGACACAGAACACGCATGTCTTGTGTAACTTTTTCATGATCGGTAACAACGTTTTTAGAAAATTCCTTATTTTATTCTATACCAAGTATAAAAAATGACGCTTTCTCTGGGAGCCGGAGAAAGATGGTTCAACTGAACCTTAGCTGTACTTACAAAACTTGCGTTCACTATCACATATGAGTGATCTGTCAAACACGGCTTTATTACCTTGCAAACACGGTGTTAGTCAGCAGCGGCATACGACTCTGCGACGACTTGCCACTTGAACCTATTCGCGAACTATATCAGAAACCGGCTGGCTATGAAAGCAAAAGTTGATTCCAAAAGCGCAGCTTACGTCAATTGTCGCGCAGGGAGCATACCCGCCAGTGAGGATCGCGGCCCTTGTTGTCAGAGACCATAGCAGTGTCTAAGTGTAGGGTTACGAGCAGGCCACACGGTCCGTTTATGCTGCAGGGTGTCGGTGTCATCAGCTGCCCGCCAGCCTCTCTCCCGTCATCACCGTCCGGCGGCGTCTTGCTCACTTGGCATTCCGTGCACCGTCGAGCTGATAAGACCGCCACACCCGGTGCCGTGCCAGTCCGCCCTCTCGGATCGGGGCAGCCGCCGCCCTCGGCCGCCGGTCAGCTCTGATCGCTGCTGGACCACCGTCCTCGGCCTGGCTGGACCGCCAAGTCAGGACGGGCCGCCGCCGGGCGCCCTTCCGGACCTGACGGCTTCTCCTCTCTCCCCGTCCGCCGGCGTTCTTTGTCCGCTGTCTGAGGCTGCGACGGCCGCCGCCCGCCGCACGCGTGGCGGCGGAACCGCCGGCGGCGGTCGTCCCAGCCGCTATTGATCGCCGGGCGCCGCCATGTTGGCGTTCTCTGCGCGCCGGGTGTCTGGACCAATCAGCGGGCGGCGTCTCCTGGCCGCGCGGCCCGAGGATGACCCCGCCGAGGAACGCTAATCTGATTGGTTCGCATTGCAACACTTGGGCGCCAGATTTGCGGCAATCGTCTCGCGACGCGGGCTGTCGGCCGCCGGGCGCGGGGCGTGCCGAGCGGCGCCACCAGTTTGGATCTATAAAACTCTATCTTTCGTTCTAACGTCATTAGTCACCATTGGCTGCTTCATCATATGTCGCGCGGCACCGGGCCGAGCCGCCCGCCTGCATTAATGCCGCAAACCTGATTTGTGGCCTGTATCGGCGGCGACGGCGGCCGGTTCGGAGGCGCAGCGGCGCCCGGCGGCCGCGACCCCATGGAGGGCTACCAGGTGCGGACGCCCGGCCTGGCCGACGACAGGGACAAGCGCAAGGTGGACGACTTCTCGGGCCTGTACGGCCTGGACAACACGCTCCGGCCGCACCCAGAGCACGCAGGTGAGACGCGCCCGCCGCGCTCGCGCCATTGCTATTGCACCGGTCGCTGCAGCGGCGTAACTCGATTCATTATTCTTGTTACCGAGTTACCTTAGTGAAACAATGCACTCTGAGGTGGCGGCCACGGCCAAACAGGTAATGCTATTGGCAGTGTTTGGTTACTTGCTAACGATATTCAATTATGAAGTGGAAGATTTGATCTGAAACGCGGGCAAACTTGATTACAATGTCAGAAATTTTAGCAACGAAGTTACTATAATGAATGAAATATTGGGCCAGACGAGTTCAAACCAGGTTTGCTGTGGTTGAAACTTGCGAGGGAGAAACTTTGAGATGAAATTACACGGATGTGTGGTGGATGTTGAAGCTTTGCTTTGCGAGAAATATGATCTTGTTGAGGCATTCTCGATGACGGCTTTACACCACGGCAATAAAATAGTCTACGTAAAATGTATTTATTGAGCAGTTGTTTACAGCATAAAATTTGTGAGCTTCCGACATGTTCTAAAAAGCAAAAGGCGCCAGCGAACAATCCCATTAACAAGGAAGCCACCATGATGAGACCGCCCATTGAGCGGATGTGAAATAAGCGTATCCTAATCACAGCAGTGCCGAATACATATTCCTTTATTTGTTGCACACAGTACGCGTTAGTTCTCCAGCCATGGATTCCACCGACCGCGCCTGAGATATCCCGGCGCAGGTTAGAGGTCTCAGGTCTTCCTCTTCCTCTACCCTTTCATGCCCAGTTCGCACTCGTTCGCATTTTCTGTAGGCACACAAACTTGAAAACGAGCGTGAGCAGGATGGCGTCGCGCCGCTGTGTCAACAGGCAGCCAAAACAGCATTTCTGCGCTTGCTATGCCCCCTCCGCTCAGTTAGTTCCAGCTGCGTAAAAGCTGACATCGGGCCGGTGTATTCTTGCCGACGAGAATGTCTTGCCCAATCGGACGGTCACTGATGCTCGGAAAGCAATACGTCAGAGTTCTATGATTGTGGGATCCTGGAATCTTTTGCTGGGGGGGGGGGGGGGGGGGGGAGGCTTCAGGCAATTGCCTGCGCCAGACCATGTAGGTGGCCGTAATGGTTATCCCGATCCGCCGGTTTTCGACGGACCTGTGGTCCAGCTATCACTGCACTCATTCTCTACGTGTTCTATAACGCAGGCGATGCCTTGCGTTGTTAACAGCGATGGCTCGATGGTTGCCTGCTGCAGGAGGCGAGGGAGCGTTCAAGAAGCTGAAGACGGAGGGTGGCTCGGGCGGCGTGGCTGCCGGCCACAGCCCCACCACGTCCGCCTGCCCGACACCTGCCCGCAGGCGACACCGCACCACCTTCTCACAGGTCAGCGAGCTGGTCCGCGCCGCTCTCACCCCTGCGGGCGTGGCGGTAGGCAGAGGCCGCTTCGGCCGCCAGGGTGTGCAGTGAGGCCACGGCCGCGAGCTGAAGGACGCAGCTGCTCGACTTCCCCGGGTTCTCTCGATGATGTTTACTGGTATCCAGTGATGAAGAGATTTTCCTTGATTGGAGTGAGGTGTTATGCAGCCCGTGTTGCAGACATGCATGGGAAAATCATTTTATATCCATGCAGCATTTGACGCAGGGCTATTTGGCTGGTGAAGGTTATTCGCCAATCTGCGTGTGATTGATGTCAGGATATCGTGCGAGCTCCGTCTGCTATTTCCACGAGCAGCCACAAGTGGAACCAGGTGAGGGTCGCACTCTGAGGCAACAGAACGGCGCTGTATCGTATTGCATATCAGCAACACATTGGAGAGGTTTTGATTGCAGGGTTGCAAGATCTAGCTGACAATTTTTGCGGCGAGTATCTTGAGAGTGGGGACTGAATTGCGGATTTGACTGCATATGATTCCAAGGATTTAGCAAGCAAAACCAAACCGCAATCGTTACTTATATTTTCTTCCTCGAAAACGCTAATCATGCACATCGTTTGCGTGGTTTAAGCTCCTGCACAGCTAGTAAAACCCCTCACGAACTAGATAGCTGAGTGCATGTAGGATTAAACCGACGGCTGGACTCAAATGAGTAGAGACATTTCCAAAACACATAGGTCAGGATTGCATCAAATCCGACATTTTGCCGGCCCAAATGGATTGAAATGACCTGACAGACAGAAGAAGAAGACAATATGGGCTAGTAAATGTCACAATATATGACAAGCACATATGGCGTGTGAATTTAAGGTGAACTAAGCTGTCATCAACTGATGTTGAGTATTGAGTAAATTATATTTGCCTTGTATGAGTTAGACTACATTGGATTTAGCTTTCTTCATGCGGGCGGATGCGGAGCGGGTTGGATGCAAGACTAATGTATTGCATTGGGCTCGATCCTAGAAGTTCAATCATTGAAGGCCTCTGGCGGATAGCCCCCCCCCCCCCCCCCCCGGCCCGGACATGTGACCTAGTCTACTGGCGCAAGACGCTTGGAATTTCACATCACGTGTGTGTAACAGTTCTAAACTTTTGAATTAATTCTAGTACTCATTTTTGTCTGGCTGGCTGCCGAGATCCGGCCTTGCATGGGCTTAATATGCATAACAGTTGTTGGGCCTACGCATTTCATGAACGTCTTCATAATTTACTCTTCCATCGCTTATGACATGAGCGCGCACTACAAAACAAACAATTTCCGGAGAGGTACATTCTGAACTATGCAAGCTAAGTTTAGAAAGCTAATTGTCACATCGTCCAGAATGCTAAATCCCAGGCGTCCGAAATCACTACGTAATATATCCGATCAACAGATGGCGAGTTAAGATGGCATTGACAGTGGATGTAATTGTCACAAATAAAAGAGAGATGTCTTCGATGACAGCGAAACAAAGCACAAAACCCACATGCTCATGGCTATCTCGTCTCCGCACAGAGGCAACAAAACTGCATTTCAGCGAGTATGTTTTGGAAATGAGCCACAGGTGTCTGAACGTTGTATCATTTAGTATGACTTTCAAATCCAAAAGACGGTGTTGAAAACTAGCCGATGTTCATATGCGATGGCTTCAGCATCATCGGATCTGACCCAATCGAGCCTAGTGCAAAATTCGATTGTTTGAATGCCTACCTGAATTTGACTAAGTGAATCGACAAGCTCCGTTTATGTCTGTCTGAAACTGGATGGAAATGACAATGTTATACACTTGAGCACCCTTCTGTGGCTGTGCAGCACAATTGACCCCGAGGATCGCCTAGGAGGAAATCTCGTTGTGAAGGAGACGATGCTTCCTGCGCTGCTTTCCCGTACCGTAGAACGGAACGCCTAACACCATTCTCCGAACGTGCGTCTGACCGGCTGTCTGTGAGAATTTCGTTAGCCAGTCACAAAGGCCGCGTGGTTTGCCCTGAAAATTACACATTTTATGGGTTAAGCGTTTGAAACATAAGATCACGCCTGTCCGGTACCGCTGTCGGTCACAGCGCAGCGCGAGAGGGGTGTGTGCTTTGACACTTAGTGGTGCCACATTTTTCGTATACGTAGGAGAAACAAGTACTGCAAAGGTCAAGCCGCGGCAAAAACATAAAAGCTCGAGCAACGATGCGTATGGGTCTCCCACACGTAGAAGAATGCCGATTGACGCAGGTACCGCAACGTTGAACAAGCTGAGTAACAGTTACATCAGACAGCACTTTCAGCCCTATTCCTCGTTTTCCTATTTCTTTATTCGCCAGTTTTATGTTTTGAATTTACTGCTCATAATCATTTTGATGAAGGCACGTAGCCAAAAAAAATTAACACATCTATCTCTCCTTTCTCCAGCTTATTTGGCAAGCAGTAAGACAAAAAAAAACTCTTTCTTATGTAATTGTGGAGTGCTTCTCAAAAATGCACTCAACAACTTACGCAAGCCACTTAACACATTAAGCATTACTGAGATGCGAGCCACTATCATGTAGCAGGACGCGGTGCTGCCCCAACGACAACGACGACGACCCTTCGCATAACAAAGCAAACATGGACAACAGCTTAATCATATCTATTCGATGTTCCGAGTGGGCGGAACAGTATTGCACTTGTAATAGGTGCAAGTGATCCATGAGTATTGGCTGGCCCATAGGTGTTAATCAGAGATGAAGCCAAGGCGGCCACGGGACAATTCTCTCCTGACCGATGAGGTCAACACTAGATGTTGGCAATTTCGCACCAAGTTGGTCCATATAAAATTTGATGTTGCTCCTCCGTTAGAAAAACTGTGGCTGCGCGCCTACGTAAAGAGAGATCTGGGCCAAGCTATTGATACCAGTGAACATTGCCTGACTGGCGACGGAGCTAGCGGCACCGACAGCGTCGTCTGCTCGTGCCGCCAGGCACGCGGCAACCTCGTATAGAAACCCAAAGTATTGGGATGAGAAACCGGACAACGACATGGCTGTTTATCGGTACCAGAGGGCAACCCCATGTTGAAAACGCGCATGCGATCATCATGATATTATCTCGTGACGATAAACAAATATATGCCACATTTCATTCATGCAACGCCTCATGCTTAACGTAAATGGCATGTGCATCAAATGTTTCTTGAAGCGGAATTACGGTCAATGAAAATGATACCGACTAGGCTTACATTAAACGTTGCAGTACTTAAAAATAGTTGATATTGATGATTACGATCAATGTCTTCACCAGGAAATGCTTAAGTTTTTAACTACTATCTCCTCAAAAGGGATCTTGCCCCTCTCTGACAGGCACGTCCCAACACATGTGCTGCATATACAAGTAGCATGCATTTGATACGCGCCATTCAAAGTGCACGAATAAGGTGTGCTACCAACCAGAGAACACAATTACGCCACTTCGGAATCGTACAGAATGACGCGCGGCGTTTATCCCCTGAATACGGAGCTCGGCGCTCCGCCCCGATAGCGGAAAAAGCTGCATCGAAAACGGACACTTCTCTGACCTGCTCGCCGACCGTTAACATAAATGCTCCCAGCTCAGCCATCCATGATGTTGGGAGCTCTACGTGTTAATGTACTTTTTACAATTCACGCTTTTCTCATCCAATATTCAGTTGCCAATGTTTGTGAAAAACAGATAAACGAAAGGAGCAAGGCGTACAATAAGGGCTGAACGCGTTATAGGTTAGTGCCGGTAGCTGTTGGTTTCGAATTTACTCAACCTCACATATAACAACTGACAGACCGCTGACACAATCACCCACGCCATTCAGAAACTGGCAACAAAACGGCATGACGGCTGTGGCGCCACGCCGAGACGATTGTGTAAGATTGTGATTGTGATTGTGTAAGATTGTGCTCGGTACAGAGCACGATCCCAGTCTTGTGGCGTGCGCGCCGACATCTCCACCACCACGACGGCCGGAAACGCCTGCTGTTCTTCAGGGTGTCGGACCGGGTGGGTATAGTCTCTCCCGGTGTCTTGCCGCCTGTCGCTCGCGCTCTCGTGGTGCGGCGTGTCTCTCGCATACGGCACGCCGCTCCAATAAAAGCTACCCGTTGCGGCTGACGGGCAACAAGGGTTGTCATACTATTTTCCTACCAGATGTACAAGTTGCCAGATTATGTATCATGGGCTACGATGCTGAAATGGCCGATCTTAGATGCACCAGGAGGTGATGGCCAAGCGAAGCTATCAAGCGAACAGTTCGGTGTATTACGAGAATACTGGACGTTTGAGGCAACGCTCACAGGCAGCGGTGTTAACTCACGTTCATGTTCATGTTCATATATTTCTTAACTTTCCACAAGATCCAGTGGCTTTTTTTAAAGTTACACGTCATCATTGATAAAAACGAACATAAAAGAGACAATGTGGACTCACCCCGAATAAGGGATTGGGGAGTCAATGAGACCCTACGATGTCGTGACATCCGTCCCATACCTTCAGGAGCCTCTTGGGAGCTCATTGCACGTGTTTTAACGCAAAAAGTGTCTAGCGTCTCTGGTTTCTGAGTCACTGAAAAATCGTTTCTAGAAAAATTGAACGGCAGATCTATTGCCGACGTGGACGGCGATCGACAGTGTGCTATTTTGTTTAAAGTGCTCCACATCGATAAATGGTCTATGAGTGCAAAAGGTTAGCCTTCTGCAGGCAAACGTGACAATGCGGCTTGCTGTGATATTGTCCCTGATCCAGACACGATAATCGCCACCCGTTTTTTCGAGGTGTGTCGAAATGATATCGAAATCTACTGTAAGGTTCGGGCTGTGGTCAACGCCACCCGTAGCCTTCCACTGTCCAGCAATGTTTCATCATCCGGCCAAGTACTGTACTGTCTGTGCTGGCTGTTATGCTGTCTAAGTACTATGTCATCTTCAATATATATATGTATATATATATATATATATATATATTCATACTTAGATTTTCATATTATATAAAGATTACATGTAGATTACTCGTATATATAAATCATGCGTATAATAAGCCTTGTAAGAGGCAGCATGTTC